AGCAATTTAAGCTATTTACTGATGTGTTTTACATAATATTTTATTAAGTATGAAAAATATTGTATACTTCTCCTTCCAAATTTAAAATCATTTTCTTTAGTTTACATTTTGTGTGTGGCATGTGTGTGTGATCTTTGGAAATATTTTCTTATTTAGTAGTTATTTTCTGTAACTTATTTGCCAAGTATTTTGGAAAAGAAATGAAGGTTAGTATAATATACTGAAACACAAATCTAGCCCAAATCAGTCTAATTTAATCAGCTTAGTTTTTTCATAGTAAATTAAATGTCTGTCCATAATTAATTTTTAAAGAATACAGACTCAAACAAGCATCCTAATGTATGTTAACTAAATTGTCTTCTCCCATAAGCTACTGAAAAGTATTAACCTTTAGAGCACATAAGAATACAGCAATGTTTTGGTTATATGAGTAGTATATGCCAGCAGACATCTTCAAATTTTACTCTAAAATTTTTCAAATAAAGATTAGGTAGCAATATACTGAATGGAACTGTGATCAAAAAGTGAATCTAACTAGAGATTTCTGAAATTTTTCAATTCTGGTACTTTTTCTGCTGATGATTATTTTTCTTTTGACTTAAAAGCATTCTGATAAATTTCAATAACTAGTGAAGTCATTACTGAAAATGTAGTTCCCTAATCCTGCTATGTGGAATGAGAAAGAATAAAAGAAAAAAGGGGAACCATAAAGCTCTAATTTAGAAAGTTGATAAAATACCCACAGGAGTATTTAAGCATTAATTAAAGATAGACTTTGAAATGAAAGAACCTATGTATCAGATAAAAGCTATTCATGGATTCTCTAAGATATTCTTGTCGATACTCTGAGAAAGTGATAATACTGTTCAAGGCAGGACAGCAGGGTGTCTTGAAGTAGGGAATCACTGACCGTGGAAGAGCTAGAAAATAAAGTGGTTATTCAATTACATCATCTTCAACCTTGTCCTTGTATGGTAATCAATTGACCTCCCATACTACTTTCTTAATTTGCTATGGTCTTTGCATCATTTTGACTTATGGAAGCTTTTATTCTCCATCGAATTTCTGCCATAATAATTGTTAACTTCCAAAGTCATAAGAACAACTCTCCCAATTGCCTAATATCAGCATTTTTGGACACCAACAATCTTTATCCTATCTAACATTAATAAACTAATTTCCATAGACACAAATAAAAACCCTCTTATCACTTGGAATTGCACCATTTCTTAAATATTCAACTCCTATGTATTTATTTATAACCAAAATCTATCTTTTCAACTCCTTTCTTTACTTCCATCACACATATTCTCCAAATATATGGTGACACCCATCCTTCAAATTACCTCCTTCATACACTTATTTTCATTTCAGGTGTAGGCTCCAGGGTTCTTTGATTCAATCGTTATTTTGTCCATTTTGTCCAGTGTCTCTAAAGTTCTTTCATTTCATTGCCTCAATTATGCTAAAATGTTCCTCACAATCCTTACCTTGGAATAATCCAACTATATATCTTCATTTCCTGTATTCAGATAAAATACAGATTTATGACAATATTAATTTTATGGTCTCCAACTTTGGCTGCTTCCACGGTTGCTTGCTCTTTCTCCTGTTACCTACAAGAGCCATTTAAAACCTTCACCAACAATACAGCTTTCTATTCAAACACCACTTAAGGTCTCTCCTTCTCAACAAGATACTTTATCTATTCCCCGAAGAAATTTTAGGTCTTCAAGCTTTAATTCATTCAACTTCCTATATCCGTATTTATAAAATTCTATATATTTTATATTTACTGCAACTTCCTTTTCTGCTGTCTCATGATTAGGTTTCCATTTTTCTGGTAAAAGCTAATAATCTCTCTACTTACAATTCTAATCTTTACAATCAAGTAATGTAAGGCTGCTGTGTTAGTCAGAATTATGACTCCCAAGAAGGTAGAGAATATGTCCTCCTGTGATTCCCAGGACTATGAATATAATGAGATAGCACACCTGTGAATGTGTTGGTAAAGGGACTTTGCATGTAATGTAATTAAGGATATTGTTTAATTAACCTTAACATAAGATGATTATTCTGGATTATCCAGATTGGCCCAGTGTATCACATGAGACTTTCAAATACGGAGACAAGAGAGAACATCAGATTCAAAGTATGAGAAGGATTTTATATGATATTGCTGACTTAAAAATAGAGGGAAGCACAGGGAATGAGTGAGAACCAAATTAAGTCTGACAACAACCACTGATGCTGAATGAGGACATGAATGAGAACCACTGCTCTGGCTGACACCTTGATTTCAGCCTTGTAAGAACTAAGCAGAAAACCTAACTATCCACAATGTGCATGGACTCTTAACCTAAGGAAACTAAGAAATTTTATAAGGTGGTTGTTGTAAGCCAATACATTTATGAGTAAATTGTTAAGCAGGATGGAAAATAGAGATTCCAACTTTGTTCCGTTTTCTCAAGATTACGTTGATTGTTCTAGGACTTTTGCATTTTCATATAAATTTCAATTTTGATAAATACAAAACATTTAAATTTAATACATTTAAAATAAATCTGAATTAAATGTAACATATACTTAAAACAAATGTAAATGTTCATTTCTCATTTCTATTGAAGAGGCTGTTGGCAAATTAATTGTAATTTTATTAATCTATAGATCCATTTGGGAAAAACTGACATCATGATAATATTATCTTCCAATCTTTGAGATGATATAACCCTCCGTTAATTTAGACCTTTTTAAATTTCTTTTGGCAATATTTTATAATTTTTAGGTGCAGGCCTTTCCTGTCTTTTATTACATTTATGTCTAAATATTTTATGCTTTTCTGATCACAATGTAAGTGGACTTCCTTTCTTGATTTTATTTACCAACTGTTTGACACTGGTATACATGGATATAATAATATAATTGATTATTTCGTATTTCACATTCTTTAATCCTTTTAAATATTTCTTTCACTTACATTTTGTTTGCAGTTTACAATGTTTATCTGTAGGAGGGCTATTTTAGTATATTTCTTGACTTAATTAGTACCGTTTATTATATGTACAAGGTCCCTTTGCTGTGATTTCCACTCTGCTGTGTGTCCAGACATAACTATTCTCCTGAGTTCTAGGTTTATAGTGCTAGTAGCTAACTTTTAGCTGCTACTAAAATGATTATTAAATGCTAGGCACTCCTTTAAGGATTTCAAATATGTTAGTTCATTACTTCCTACTAAACCCTGTGAGTAGAAATGTCTTCTTGATAGAGATGAAAAAAATGATACAGAGAGCACTTAAGTCACCTATCTAAAATCACACCATCAATACATTTCAGAGCCAAGCAGAATGGCTTTACTACCTGTACTCTTAACTATAACCCATCGCTTATCTAGAGTCAACACTTTGGGCATCATCAAATGAATAACTAGGCTCTTAAAGCTCACCATTTCCAATCAGAACTATAATTTTTCTTCCCATCTTGTTGCTCTACCTACATTTCTTTATGATGTATACCACTGTTATCCATCCAGTAAAGTGACTTATTTAATGTTAGGCATTCGCCTAAGAACTTTTAATGTATCAACTCACTTAGTCCTTTACTAACCCTATGAATTAGATTATCTCCTTAACAATGAAGAAAATGAGACAGAAAGGCATGTCCAAAATCACACCATCAATAAGCTGCAGGGTTTTTAGACTTAAGCCTCTCTTTCTTTCCTCAAGTTCAGATTTCTTAGTAATACCTACACATAAATATTTTATGATCTGGCCTAAATTTGTTTCTCTAGCCTACCTACTCTGCTGTTTTCCCTCCCAGACTGTGTGACCCAGATAATTAGATAGATATCAGTTCTTGGAGCATGCCGAGCTGTGCTACCCTCTATCTTTGTTCGGCTATGTTCATGCTATAAAAATAGCTTGAACAAAATTCTCTTCCACTTTCTGATTGGAAAATACACATCTTTCAAGACTCAATTCAAAGGTTACTTTAACTCTAAACATTTCTTGTCTCCCCCACCTTGCTCTCTAGTTTATATTTATCAACTTTTTACTCAATTTTTGCCCATTTTGACTTGTTAAACATAATGTTTTCACTATGAACCATAACATCTCATTTATACATTCACATACATTTATTTTTCTTAAATTTTTATAAGCTTCAGGAAGTTATATCATGTCATATTCATGTTTCCAGCATCTAAGGTTAGTGTGATGCCTTAACATACATAATTGTTGAATAAGTAAACATTGATGAATAAATTTTCCTAAGACCTGTGACATTTCCCTGGTTTGGCAGAGTATTAGTCTACTAGGCTGCCGTAACAAAATATCACAGACTGGGTAGCTTAAACAGAAATTTATTTCTCACAGTTCTGGAGGCTGGAAATCCAAGAACAGAATGTCAGCAGTTGTGGTTTCTGCTGAGCCTTCTTTCCTTGGCTTGCAGATGGCCAACTTCTCCCTGTGTCCTTCCATGGCCTTTCTTCTGTACACCCACATCTTTGGTGTTGCTTCGTCTTCTTATAAGTATACCAGTAATATTGGATTAAGACCTACCCATATAATGTCATTTAGCCTTACTTCTTAAAGACCTTATTTCTAAATAGTCACATTCAAAGACACTGGGAGTTAGGCCTTTGACATATGAATTTGGTGGAATACATTCAGTCCATAACAGAGTGGAAGAAGTAGCTAGCTTGGATTTAGTGAGTCTAGATGTATTTTAAGAGATGACATAAGGTGGTTTAGAGGCCTGTTTGGAAATCTAAGCCATAGTTTGTGGGAACTTTAAATTATAGCTTATATGTATGTCACATAAATATTAGTCTAATATGAATATCATTTAATGATGTAACATTTATATAAATGGAGTTCTTTCTTTCTCACTTGTATATACCTATTTCGAAGACATCTGATTATCATCAGTAACAGTCTAATAGATTGCTGTGGTTTTAATAATTTAAAAGTATGTCATTCTGTTACCTTCTTTACTCCTCTTAGGTCTCAAGAAATATATAAAAGACACTGTCAAGAAAAATTTGTTATGGATATGATTGCCTTTAAAAATGCCTGTGAAAGACTTCAAGATGCCAAAACAAAAGTAGCAATTGTGAAAACAAATTTAGACTTCAAATTTCCCAATGGACTAACAAAATGAACCAATGCCAGGTCACATCCTATGATCATCCTAAATTATAGTCATTATTTTTAGTTGAATTAATTTGAAATAATAGTCTAAACAAGAAATACATCACAAGATGGATTTGTATATAAATATTCTAAAAAACATAAAATGAGTTAAAATGTTTCTCTTACTGGTCATAATTTAACTTAAATAAAGTTGACTTAGCAACTCTGAAAACTTTCTTATATATCCAGATGCCCAAGGAACAATTAAAACTTTTATTTATTGCAGACGGTGTTGCAGTGACATTACTGAGATTCTGTTTGATATCCTCTCTGAATATAGTAATTCATAAGCTAATTTAGGTTTCTCTTCAAACCTTAGAATAGTAATTTCTACTCCAACTGCTGACTTTTATTAAGATACTGTGTACTTAAATTACTTTTAATACCTGTTTTTATATTTAATTTCCTGCTTATTTTCTTAAAGCAATTTCTTTTTTAAGTAATGTTTCACTATTTTATCAGTGATTGATGCTGTTATAAAATTCAGAAAATATGAACTATGAAAGGTAAATTAAATGTTCTTATCACCTTCCTTGAAAATTGTAAGATTTTTATATGTTTACTTTTTCTGTGTTTGCCCTGTTTGGTACATATGTGAAGACAGGTAGAAGAGAGAGAGAGAGAAGCAAGAGAGAACCCATATAATTATATGTTGGAATCATAACATATACAGAAATGGTATATATTAACCATAAGTCTATTTAATATGTACCAATGGCAAAAAATTTGAAAAATAAACTGTTAAAAACATAAAAATCCTTTGTAAAATTTACATCAATTTTCAATAGTGATTTAATATATCTAGAAATATAGATTTAATATATTTATATTTAATATAGGAATCTCACTATAATTATAACTTTGTTCACTAAATACAATGTAGCTAATGGTATCCATAATTTCTCTTTAATTACTCATTGGTTACATATGTAAGTTTTTTAAAACTTTGTTGCTTTACAGATTTTCTAATTCTATGTCTATGATTAATTTCCAAAAATCACGTATTTTACAACAGTTGTGCTTCTATGTTGGACTGCTAACAAATAATGGTAGAATTTTCCTAATTTTCTATAAACTAATAGCTGTCTTTTTAAGTCCATGGCACAAGGTCTCGCTTTCTTCATAATTAGAAGATAATTAATAAGCAAGTCATATTGGTATTTCTATTTATTCTACATCAAAAACAAAGGGATGCACTGTGGTGTTGTAGAAGGCATGACAGCCCTATGTTTCACAGCAAGTTAGCCATTGTGTAACCCCCATTTTCTGTTCTGTGTTTGGAAATAATACATATGTTTTAGAGATTTACTTTACATAAAGCATTTAATAAAGATAAGTGTGTAGTAGTGGAGGCAGAAGTCTTTGTATAGGAGGATTGTCAACTATTTATGTAAACTTTGAGAGGCATTATCAAGGAATAGTAAGCTTGTTTGTGTGATATGTTTGGATATAAGTCATTCCTTCAGTCCAAACATTAATTGAATGTTTGTCATCTTTATGCCCTCATTTTATCCTGTAAAGGTTTTATAGCTTTTATCACACAATAAGTAATCAATAATTTACTTGACTATTTTATACCCACCTGTGAGCTTCTTTAAGAAAAATAATATTTTATGCATCTCTGTCTATTACTTTTTACTAAGGCAGGTATGCTATGCACAGTTTTTTTGTTCTGTTTATAGCTTGTTTTTCCTATTTATCTACTATCCTAATCAATCTTGTGACATTTACTGCCACTTACTATTTCTGTTTTGAAGAATTCAAAATCTGTATCTCTAGATTATGCTCTAGATTTATATATTGCCTCTGTTTTCAAAATACATGTTACACATCTCTACTTTGAAGGCCTAAAATATTTTTATATCATACATTAAAATGGAGTTGGTTTTTGTTTTCTTACTATTCTTCGCCCCTACCATATCCAGTTTCTCATTCTGTATTCCCCAGATTCATCGTCATCTACATGGCTTCCCATATTGAAAATTTAGGAGATATCTTTGACTCTGTTCTCTTACCATGCCACGTATTATTCAATGTTATGTCCTATAAATTTCATCTGCAGAAGGTTTCTATGGCAGAAAATAGCTGGCTTTCAACAAATTCATTTTCTCGTTTTTTCAGGGCACAACTAGTCTATATTTCCTAGCCTCCTTTTCTGTCACATGAGGCACACAACTGACCTCTCACCAATGGAATCTAGGTAAAAGTGATGGGCAGTCCTTCCAAGCATTGTCCTTCCATATAAAATTCCTCATGATCTTTCCTCTAATTTGACCACCTTGGAAAACATGTTAAAGACAACTGAGCCACTAGATGGAAAGAACCTGGCCTCCTAGTTCAGGTTCTTTGGAGAACAATAGAGAACACCTGTTTTGTGCTTTACATCATCCAAAAGAAAATTCAGTTATATTAAGGGCTTTGCAACCACATCGGTTATATTAGGCCAGCATCTATGAGTGATTTAATCAGTAGAGAACTTGGTACCAAAATAGGGTGCCACTGTCACAAAAACCCAAAGTATCTAGTATTGACTTTCTGAGGTAGTCAGGAAACCAATATAGAGGGAAGAAATATGGAGACCCAGGTCTACTGATAGTGTAGTCCACGTAAAGTTTTAAATGTTATTGGTCTGGGTGTTGGTCTCTTATACTGCTTTTAACTTCATTATTCAGATGGCTTATAACTAAAAAAAATTTTTTTTTTTTTTTTTTTTTTTTTTTTAGCTAAAGCCAGAAAGCAATATGTATGTTGTTGGTTCATTTATTTTCCTACTCCTGCCTTTTCAGCCAGCACATTTTTAAAGATTTCTTAGAATTCTGTTGCGATTTCATAGAGTAACTCTTGCCTTCAGTGCAAATTATAGACTTAAGAAGAATAATTTTTTAAAATTTCGCACACCCACACAGACACAGATCACACATATGTACAGACACATATGTAATAAAAGAAAATCTAAAGAACAATATATTATTTCTACCTCAAATACTCTCTTTAGAAGTGTTACAAAATATTTCTTGATTTGTTTCTGGTATTTATCTACTACAGATTGAGTATCCCTTATCCAAATTGCTTGGGACTGGAATTGTTTCAGAATTCAATTTTTTTTTAAATTTTGAAATATTTGCATATACATAATGAGGTATATTGTGGATAGGACCAAAATCTAAACACAAACTTCATTTATGTCTTATATACATTTTGTACACATAGCTTGAATGTAATTTTGTACAATTTTTCAATAATTTTGTGCATGAAACAAAGTTTTAACTGCGTTTTTACTGTGACCCATCATGTGATGTCAGGTGTGCAATTTCCTGCTTGCATGATGTCAGGTCTTAAAAAGTTTTGGACTTTGGAACACTCTGATTTCAGATTTTCAGATTAGGGATGCTTGACCTGTAATAGTACATCCCATCCCATTCATATTAAAACATTGATTGTTCTTGAAAACCATGATTATCTGCCTTCTTCCTTGATTCCAGTTATTTTTCACTCCCAGCTTATATGCTCCATATCACAAATGTCACCTACATAATTTTTAACAAAATCTAATACCCCAACACTCTGATCCACAGAAATGTGGCTAATCCTTCCAATTAGATATATTCTACATTTTCTTCTGAGTCATTATAATAATTTAAAATATTGTATTTCTATTATAATAGCAGCATTATTTTTGAAAAGTAGAAAATATATTTAAATTTATAAAATAAAAGTAATAGCCTATGAACCATAGATAACCACTGTTAACATTTTGAGTTCTTTTTCCAGGTTTAGGGGTGTATATATGCATGTGTGTTGTTCCGTTTACTGATTTATCTTTCCTGCTGCTCACCCAACTCCTCCACCCTACCTTTTTGGGTTACTGACGCTTACACAATTGTTGACTGAGCTCTTCCTGTCTTTGTCTTTATCCACAATCCTATGGTAACTCTAACACATAAAACAAATGACATATACAAGTACCACCCTACACATTCAAACATACACATTTTTTGACCAATTCTTTTATTGTAATTAATATAATGGATGAGTCTATACAGAGTGATTCACTGGAATTCTAGCTAGCATAAGTAGCAGCACATACATTCATACTGGGGAAGAGATCCCATTTTTCTATTGGTACAGCTACAGGGTTTGAACTAGGATGCAATGTTGGAAAGGGAGTAACCTATCTTCCTATCTTATTTTAGGCAAGTGAGGTGTATCTGTTTTATAAGGCAAAATACTAGTAGATTTTGTGGATTTTTAAGGAAGAAACTTGCTAGGTGTCAGACATTATCTCCCCCTACACTTAGCTACAGTGAGGATACCTGATTGATTGTTTATTATTGCCCATGACTCTGGATCTTGAATTACTGCTAAGACAGAGGTAACTGATAAATTATTCACTGCCACTGATATTGCAGCTCAACATTCCAGAAAAGCAGCTACTAGTTTCCTATGGCAGTAGTACCAAAAGTTCTTCCAGATTCTTCCCGTATTGTAACATTACTTTGTTTTATGCCGCTGGATTCGCCAGTTTATTCTTGCCCATGACTCTGGATCTTGAAGTATTGCTAAGACAGAGGTAATTGATAAATTATTCACTGCCACTGATATTGTGGCTCAACATTCCGGAAAAAGCAGTTACTAGTTTCCTATGGCAGTAGTACCAGAAGTTCTTCCAGATTCTTCCTGTATTGTAACATTACTTTGTTTTATGCCACTGGATTCACTAAGTTTCTGCACATACTTCAACCAGGAAATTTCTAGGCTTACTTTTCCCAGTAAGTGTCTGATTATCAATGGTAAAGAGAGTTTATACACAATAAAACTATGGAGGAGTATGAATAGAGCTTCAGCCATCCCTTGGGTCATCTCTATATGCTTCCATGTCTACAGCTAAAGTTAATGGAAGGCTGTTGCAACACTTCACAAGCAAGGGCTTGTATTTCTCAGGAAGGAATATTTGAGTAAGCCTACCAGGTAAAGCCTTCTGTTATAGTGAATTGTTGGCTGAAGGCAGAGGGTACCTTGAATGGATGGTGGAGGAGGAAAGCAGTACATTTTAACTATGGCCTCATAAATATATACAGAAATAAAGATCACAACCTCTACTCATATTGCCTTCATGCTTATTTGTATACTTTATATTTTTTCTTCCTTTCTATTTCCTCTATTCCGTATAATATTAATGTAGTATCATAATAGAACTGGAGTGTAATGGACATTGCACAGTGATCCTGGACTCCAAGGTGAATGTAGTAACTAATGAGACTTTGAGTTATTTCCCTTAGGAAAGTGGATGTATGCTTTATTGGTTGTATAAAGAATACTTATATTAGACTTGAGCCACCTTGTGGGAGTAATGAGAGGTATTAGTATCAGAAGAGAAATGTAGATGAACATTTGTCAGATTCTTTTGTTTATTTTTGCCTATAAATCATCTCAATGTTCTTTTTTTTTTTTTTTTTGGATATATCCTTTGGCTTATTTTGAGTTATTAACCATATCCTAACACAAATTATAGAAGGATTAAAAAGTTTTC